AAGAAAGTCACTCCATGCAGCCCATGCTTAAGGAGTGGGAGTTATGTTCTACCTCTGGAAGGGTGGTGCACTTAAGCTACTTAAGCTACTAAGTTTTGGGGTATTTTTTATGTCACAAAAGCTAACAGATAAACCCCTTTGTTTTGTAGATCTATGTTTATTTGGGTTTTCTATTACATGCAGTCAAGCCTAATTTTAAATGGATGCAGAATTTATTTCTCAGGGAGGTTGTGAGAATTGAATCAGAAAGGCAGGGACAGTATATACAGCAGTGTTTGGGTGAATAAACAGTAATAATAATCATTGTTGGCCAGGTGTGGTGGCTCATGCCAGCCCTTTGGGAGGCCAAAGCCAGTGGACTACTTGAGCCCAGGAGTTTGAGACCAGCCTGGGCAACTTGGCAAAAACCCTGTCTCTACAAAAAGTGCAAAAGTTAGCTGGGCATGGTGGCACGTGTCTCTAGTCCCAGCTACTTGGGAGGCTGAGGTGGGAGGATCTCTTGAGCCTGGAAGGCAGAGGTTACAGTGAGCTATGACTGCATCACTACACTCCAGCCCGGGTGACAGTGAGACTCTGTCTCAAAAAAAAAAAAAAAAAATCATGATTATTAATAACTTAATTACAAATAAATAATAATAATTATTATTAGTTTTGTAGTGCATTAGTATTTAATTGATAATTTTGTTTCAGTCTTTTTAGTTGTTCGGGAACTATAGGCCTAAGGAATTGATAGCTCACTTTATGAATGCACACAAATAAGTAATTTACTGTCAATGCCCTCCTAAGGGCCTAAGATCACCAGGAACGCACCTGTAGTTAAATAAGTGGGTCTATTACTCATTTGGACAAGAAAGTGCACACCATGGGGAACCCTGGAATGTCTTGGTAAGAGTGTTAGAGAAGGCTTATTATAGGATTGGCCTTTTGTTAGGTGGCTTGACTAGGGTTTGAGGATGTGGGATTTTTCTTCAGATTGGATGCTTCAGGAAGCATCCAATCCAATCACTTCAGGAAGTGGGAGTAATTATGCAGTTGGGATCTTAGCAAGTCCTTTCTATAGAGAAGGCAGACTCAACAAGGCTAACGGTTTCATTGGGAAAGAAGCAGTGGTCACTTGTATTAGCTGGGACTGGGGGGTGTTTGGTCATTTTTGTGGCTTGGAAATGTGCATGATTTCTCTTTGTTCAGACACGGTTACAGAGTGTTCCACATTTTGTCTTGATTCATCAATCACTGAGGACCTCATCTGATGTTGGTGTTCTGGGCAATCATTAACGTTGGACAGGACATAAGCTGTTCCCTGTGCGTGTTGGGCTGACTCGCAGCAACACCCAGTCCTGGCTGATGACTATCCAGGACGGCCCCTGGATGTCAGGGCTGCTTTCCTCTTTCTCAATTTCCGTCAACATTAGTGGGTCTGAGAGGATCCCTTCCTACTTGTAAAGCTCTCTATATATTAAGTTGGAGCAACAAGCTCATTCCTGCTCAAACTGGGCAGGCATTTTTAGATTCTTTTCTACTCCTGGAAGTTTTACTGTCCCATTATTTGGTCTTGAGCTGGTCTCAGGAAGAAGTAATGAAGGTGAGAGATCTGCAGTGGAATCCTGGGAGAGGATGGATCACTTAGTAGCTTAAGTAGCTACTAAGTTTTAAGCATGTGAAGACACCATTCTGAGGAGGGGTCCATGGCTTCACCAGATGCCAAAAATGCCCATGCCACAGCAAAGAAAAATTCATTGATCAATCCTTCAATGACCCCATGAAGCAGCAGTATTACCAGCTTGCTACAGAGGGGAACCTGAGGCACAGGGAGGTTGTGCAACTTATTTAAGGTCACACGGATATTGAGTGGTTGTGCATTATGATATCCGTCAGTTGTTTTTATAGCCTGTGGGCTGGTGTGGGCTTATCCTTTGTGTCACATCAGAAAGCAAGTCTGGTTAATTATTTTCTTTCTCAAGGTTAACCGAGATCGATAAAAAATAATACACATATATCGCATGGATTATTGGTGGTCATCATTTGCTAATCCTTATACTTGTGCCATGTTGGATTAATTATTACAGCTTTGTGAGCTGCTTTATTAAGGAGGGGAAGTAGAATGAACAAATCATGGCAAGTCACTTCACCTCATCTTCTCATTTAAGGATGTTGATTCTGGTGTTGCCAAGGTGACGCTGTCAGCTTTCTGAAGCATCTTTAAATGGGAGAGGTGAAGGCCCACACAGACTGAGGGGAAGGAAAACTCAGAAAAAAGGGTCAAATTCCCCGGCCACTGAGATAAACCATCCTGATGAGGATCATCCCTCACCCTCGGCACATGGCCGCTTTCTACCTTGCCCGTCGTGGATGTCTCTGGGGTGTACTCAGGGAACTCTCTCCCCAGTATGGAAACTGCCTTTGCTGGGAACATGTAGAGACCTCAGAAATGCTGTGTTCTGCCGATCTGGCTCCCTCAGGATCCATCAGGTGCCAGTGGGAGAGACTGAGGGGTCTTGGAGGCCTTTCCAGGAAGTTCCTCCTGCCCTTGGTATAGGAGTTTGGTGGTAGATACCCAGATGTCCAGAGTGTTCTGGGAGAGGAAGGCAGCTTACAAATGCAAATGTGCTGGAGGTGGTGCATGGCTGTGCTGCCTTGGATGAGACCCTTTCCCTCTCTGAGCCCTAATTTCTTTTTTCTTTTCTTTCTCTCTCTTTTTTTTTTTTTTTTGAGACAGTCTGGTTCCATCACCCAGGCTGGAGTGCAGGGACGAGATCTCAGCTCAGTGCAACCTCCGCCTCCCGGTTCAAGCAATTCTCCCACCTCAGCCTCCCGAGGAGCTGGGGCTACAAGCATGTGTCACCATGCCCAGCTAGTTTTTGTATTTTTAGTAGAGACGGGCTTTCACCATGTTGCCCAGGGTGGTCTCGAACTTCTGAGTTCAGGCAATCCACCCACCTTGGCCTCCCAAAGTGCTAGAATTACAGGCTAGGAGCCACTGTGCCCAGTGCCTAATTTCTTCATCACTCAAATGGTAAGAAAACTAACCTGGTGCAGGGAGAGGTGACAAGGGTTTTGCATAGGAACCCGCAGATGCAGGTATCCTAGAGGCTGGTCCCTATGAGCTGTGGCCCCCAGGAGACCCAATCTAGGCTTGAGACCACACCAGCCATGCCCTCTACAGTGCCTTGTGCTGCCCAGGATCCTCAGGTTGGTCTTGTCTGTAGCCATTGTGAGTCAGCATCACTGTCAGAAGGGCTTCCAGAGGTTGCTAGGTGCTCTGTCCATGGGAAACAGGTTCAGAGAGGGCCAGGGGCTCTGATCCAATGGCAGAGCCAGGACTGAGAACAGGACCTAATATTCCTGGGCAGGACACAGCTGTGTCCTTGATAGTCTGAGGCAATCTGGGATGAACTGGAGCCTGGGGTCACGACCTGGGGACGGAGAGGCTGAGAGAGGGCACAGAGGTGGAGAGAAGATGGGAGCCAGGGACAGGGAAGGAGGGAAGGTGAACACCTGCTCCTGCCTGCCCAGCATCCCTGCTTCCTGAAGTCACGACTTGGGTGGCACTGACCCCACTGCTGGTGCCAGGCGTGATCATGTGACCAAGGTCTGGTCAAGCAGAGTAAGAGTGATAAGTGCAAGGATGGACACAGGACCAGTCCTGGCTGCAGAAAATCATTCCTTTACTGGAACCACGGAGACAGGGGAGCTCCCCGAGTCAGGGATCCTGAGCTGGGAGGACACGAGCCCGGGGCTGCCAGAGCCTTCTTGTGAGGAAAGATCCTGGCTGAGAATGAAGTCAATGGGGCAGATGGAGGGGCAGATGGAGGGGCTGAGAGTTGGAGCTGACATCATTTGAGCCTCTGGATCTAACCTCACTTGCCTTTACCCTTAGACAATAAATTGTGAGTCAATTTATTTCTTAGGGCTAGAATTTCTATCCCTTGTACCTGAGTCCTGGCATGGAGGAGGAAGGAAGATAAGAAAGAAGGATGAATATTTAAGAACGGGTGTCTGAGGCTGGGTATGGTGGCTCACGCCTGTAATCCCAGCACTTTGGGAGGCCAAGGCAGGTGGATCACTTGAGGCCAGGAGTTTGAGACCAACCTGGCCAACATGATGAAACCCCGTCTCTACTAAAAATACAAAAGTTTGCCAGGTGTGGTGGTAGGCGTCTGTAATTCCAGTTACTCAGGAGACTGAGGTAGGAGAATCACTTGAACCGGGAGGCAGAGATTGCAGTGATCCGAGATCATGCCACTGCTACACTCCAGCCTAGGCGACAGAGTGAGACTGTCTCAAAAAAATAAAATAAAATGACACCAAGAACAGGTGTCTGAGGGCAACTCAAATCAGCTTCCTGCCCCCTTATAAAATGGGAGTACAGAGAGGGACTTGGGCCTTCATGCCACCCAGAGGAGTTCTGTCCCTGGGCCTCACAGCTTTGCCCTGTCTCCTCTCTAGCTTGCAATCAGCCTAGAAACCACAGTAGAAAAAATAAATGATGTGGATACAAAAATAAAACACCTTTTCCTCACCTGAGTGCAGGAGGAGCGGCATGTGCTGGGGAATACCTTCCTCACCCCATTCACCTCTTTGGGGACAAACATTATTAGGCACCTGCTTCATGCCAAGCCCTACTAAGACGATGACATACGTGGTCTCATTTCTTCCTTGCCACAGCCCAGCCGGGAAGGAATATTATCATCTCCATTTTACAGATGGGACAACTGAGGCTTTGACGATTGAGAAGATAACTGGTGCCTTGAGAGGCTGAGCCACTGGACCAAAGTGTCAGAGCTGGAGCAGGTTTGTCCGACTCCAAAGCCCTGCCTACCACACCACACTGCACACAGTAGAGGCTAAATAAAAGTCTGCTGGGCAAATGCTGCCTGAGGCAATTTGAGCTCTCTGGGCAGCAACCTACCCCTAAAGATTTCCCATCCTGCCTGAAATGCCACCATCAGTAACCATGTCCTTTGGGTCTTGAAGGGGAAAAGTGCTGTTTCCCAGGAATAAGATCAAAGTCAGTCTGTGCTGGGTTTACTCAGGGATCGGCTGAGAGTGGGACTCAGGGCTGGGGCAGAGCCAGGGGGATGAAGGTATCCTATTCCCATTGGCCCAGCCTCATCCAGGAGAAAACCTTCTGAGGACAGATGTGTATCCTGGCGGTAGGGCAGATGGGCTCCTGGCTAGGCCTGGGTGTTGGCTGATGACAACAGGGCAGAGAGCATGACACAGTGATGGGGGCAGGTGACACGGTGGCTGTGGATCCTTTCTGACTCCATCCTCTGAAAGAAGCTACGTGGGCCCTGGTCTCCCAAGCTCAGGCAGAGGCCTGATCTCCTTCCCTGCAGCTCCCCACCTACCACCACAGAGTCAGCATCACTGCTGGATGGGGAAGGGGAGGGAGGCTAGGGGCTTCGGCTTGGAGGCAGAGAGGATCTGGACTTGGAGACAGATGTCCTGCCCAACAGTCCCTGTAATTGAGCCTGGGGGAGTTGAGGTTACAGGAAGTCCTGAGGGAAGCCACCCAGGTAGAGATCAGCTTCCTGGGGCTTGAAGGAGCTTTGGAAGGCATGAGCCTGTAACACAGGCAGGGACTAAGTTCTAGACCCTTCTTCAGGGATGGTATCTGTTTCAACCGAAAGGTTATTTCTAGCTGTTTTTAGAGGTTGTTTGAGGCTGTCACTGTGGCCCTTGTAGCCAAAAAGGGTGAGTAGAGCTGAGGTGGGGATGGGGCTGTGGGGCTCCTCCTTGTGCCAGGGGAGCCCTAGCTTTGTCCAAGAGCATCTACAGCCCTGTGAGATGCTCTGGGACAAACTGAGCCCATTTTCAAATAAGTAAATTTGGAGAAAGCTGCCCACTCTAGCCACTTCATGGGTAGTCACAAGGCACTTGGCCATATTAAAGGCTCTGATCAGTCCTGCAGTTAAGAGTGCCTGTTCACTTTGACTTAACCTGCTGTTTCCTTTTCTCATTGCTCATAGGTACTTTTAGAGACAAGCCATAGTTATTCCCTGTGACATATCCTCTAGGACATGCTGGAGGTGAAGGAGCATGTCTTTTTAGGTCTTCTAAAGACCCTGAGCTCCAAACATTGGAGCCCAGGAGTGGTGAAGTGGTAAAGCCTAGAAGTGGTGAAGTCTAAAGACCCTGAGCTCTAGGGTCATTGGAGCCTAGAAGTGGTGAAGTATGAAGGGGAAATAATGATTAACCCACCCATTAAGGGGTGGATGCAGCCCCTTCAGACTTGAAAAGAAAGTTCAAGGACATCTCAAGACTAGGAAAGCTTGGAACAGGAGCTTAGAATGGGAGATGGCCTTCTCGCCAACCCAAGGGATAGAACCTGGGCCATCTGGGCAGCTTCTGGTGTGCAAATACCTTTCCACCTGCCTGCAACCCCACCATTGGTCATGTATTCCTTTGAAGAGTCTAGTTTGGTCTGTTCTCAGCCCATTCAAGGACCCTCAGGCAGGGAGCCCCTGAAGGGGGAGGGAGAGAAGAAGGGTGAGGACTACATCAGAGGGATGGGCCCTGAATATCCTCCATGTAACAGACAGAGGGGAGTAGGTGGGCAGATGACCCTTCTGGGCTTCTGGGGCAAGGAGGGCTGGCTCAGGAAGCCCAGGGTGTCAAGGAAGGTGGTGGCACAGTGTCTTGCATCTGGGTCCGGGTTGTCCAGGAGTGCCAAGTCCGAGCTTCTCCTGTGTGGTCCAGCCTCTGGCACAGCTGCTTGTTAGACGTCCAAAGGCCGTATCATCATGCGAGAGGCACGCAGCGAGTAGCTGGGACCCTTGAAGTAGTGCCAGCGGATGCCGTCCATCTTGTGCTTGTTGTCGGGAGCGTGGTAATAGACACCATTGAGGTTTGACAGGCCACAGGCGTCAAACCACCACCCTGATGGAAGAGGGAGGAAAGGTGCTTGGTGGAGGTGGGAGCCCAGCCAATGGCAAGAGGGCAGCCCCTGTGTCCCAAAGAGAACAAAGACTAATCGGGGCTGTTACCTCCTCTGGGAAGCCAGTTAGCTGGGGATGGGGCTGGGTGGGAGTGGGGGTGGGGTGGGCAACAGACCCTCTGCTCAGCCTGGGCCTCTAGAGGGCAGCAAGGGGCTCTGGCCACTCCTCGAGCCCCTTCGCTCCTCCCGGCCTTCTCCCTGACCCCTTGGTGTCCCTGTCTTCCTCCCTCACTGACCCTCTGCCTTTCCAGCTCCCCAGCCTCCCCAAATTGCTCTCCCCACTGCTTCCTAGTGGTCTCTGTCACTCTGTCTGAGTCTCTCACTCTCCAGGTTCATCTCTTTCTCTCTGATGGTCTCTGTGCTTGGGTCTGTCTCTGTGTGTCCCATTGTGTTCATCTTTGTCTGATGGTCTTTGTCCTCCTCTGCCTTTCGTGTCTCTGGCCCTCCCTTCCTCTGGGACCCCAACTTTCACACGCTGTGTTCATCTCCCGGCCTCTTGTTGGGCTAAGTCTTTCCCCCCGTCTCCCTCTGTACTTCTTTGCCCCGGTGTAGCTCTCCATCTGCTGCTCAATGACTCCGACAGCCTTGGTGTCTCTCTCTTTCTCCATCTGTCCCATCTGTCCTCTGTGTCTCAGAAGGTCTCTCCCCCGTCTCTGTTCTTCCTACTTTGTCTCTGTCTCCCATTCACTCCACTTCCCATTCTCTGACCTCTGTGCCTACCAAGGAACACTGCCTGAGTCAGAGCTGGTGGGGAGCTGCCCCTCTGCCTCCCTCTGGTCTCCTGATTCTGGTTCGGCTTGCCTGGGGTTGGGACTGATAGGTGCCTCCCCACGGGGCCCTGCACTCAGTGTTCCTTTAGCCTTGTCTCTGAGGAAAACTGGTGGTGCCAGCTTTAGGAGGAGGTGAGGCCTGGAGGGGACCTCAAGGACCCAGTGGGGGAAGGCACCGAAGGGGCACAGCCAGGTGAGCCTATGGGTGGGCAAGGCCTGGACCTGCACCCACCCTACTGACAGCACCCAGGCACACAAGAACCTGGGGAGGGAATGGGAGTGTCAATCTGGGTAAGCCTGTGGGTGGGTGGAACTTCACCCTACCCTGCACCTACCTCCAGACATCACCTGGGCACAGTTGCAGAGACAGTGGTCGTTGTCTGAGTCAAGGGTGCTGAAGCTGGTGTTCTGCAGGACCAGGCTGCTCTGGCGCCCTGCTGAGCCGCTGTACCCGACCACAGAAAGCCTGGAGGCCACCCAGAGGTGGTGGTGGCAGAAGGGCCCAGAGTCAGGTTGGGGCTGTGTCAAGGAAGAACTCTCCCAGTGGCTTTGTCCCATGCTGGGCTTTCCTTCCAGGTGTTCTTGGAGGGAGAGCCCTAGCCTGGGTGGAGGGCTTGGGCTGCTTCCCTTCCTGGATTGCCTTCCCTGCCTGTTGCCTCCCAGGGACAAAGCACTTACTGTATGCCAGGCCTCCCCCATCTCACTGAACCTGAGTCTTGGAGAGAAGTGATAATGGTCACAATAATGATAATAATGGCTAATATATATATATTTTTTTCTTTAGAGACAGCATCTTGCTCTGTGCCCAGGCTGGAGTGCAGTGGCACGATCACGGCTCTTTACAACCTTGACTTCTTGGGCTCAAGCAATCCTCCCACCTCAGCCTCCTGAGTAAATGGGACTATGGGCACGTGCCACCAGGCCCAGCTAATGTTTGTATTTTTTGTTAAGATAGGGTCTCAATTAGATAGGGTCTCAATTCATTGACCAGACTGGTCTTGAACACCTGAGCCTGGGCAATCTGCCTGCCTCAGCCTCCCAAAGCACTGGGATTACAGATGCGAGCCACTGTGCCTGGCAAATACTTTCTTTCTTTCTTTCTTCTTTCTTTCTTTCTTTCTTTCTTCTTTCTTTCTTTCTTTCTTTCCTTCTTTCTTTCTTTCTTTCTTTCTTTCTTTCCTTCTTTCCCTTCTCTCTTTCCTTCTTTCCTTCTTTCCTTCTCTTTCCTTCCTTTCTTTCCTTCCTTCCTTCCTTCCTTCCTTCCTTCCTTCCTTCCTTCCTTCCTTTCTTTCTTTTTTTTTTTTTTTTTTTTGAGACGGAGTCTCGCTCTGTCGCCCAGGCTGGAGTGCAGTGGCGCAATCTCGGCTCACTGCAAGCTCCGCCTCCCGGGTTCACGCCATTCTCCTACCTCAGCCTCCCGAGTAGCTGGGACTACAGGCGCCCGCCACTGCGCCCGGCTAATTTTTTTCTATTTTTTAGTAGAGACGGGGTTTCACCATGGTCTCGATCTCCTGACCTTGTGATCCGCCCGCCTCGGCCTCCCAAAGTGCTGGGATTACAGGCGTGAGCCACCGCGCCCGGCCCTTTTTTTTTTTTTTTGCATCTGCTATGTGTCAGGCATTGTGCAAAGTGCTTTGCCTAGGTTAACGCATTGTCATTTAATCCTCACGACACCCTATTCCCATTTTACACATGCGAAAACAGAAGTCCCAAGAGCCAAAGAAACCTGCTCAAGTCTCAGAATGAATGAGGGTCAGAGCCACATGCCAGCCTAATATGGCCTGACTTGGGAGCCTACGTGCACTTTGCTCCCCAGCTGATGATGATCTGGCAACCCCAGCCCCATCACACCTCTTCACAATCACCCACCTCTTCCAAGAAGCTTTCCCTGACCACACCAGCCCCCATGGATCTGGGCTCCAGGGCACCCCAGCTCTGCAGCTTCGACATCTGCGGCCAGCCGGGTGAGGGTTTCTATTTCTTTGCCAGGCTCTGTGGCCTTGGTGGGCATGTCCAACCCTGCCTGGTGATGAAGACCATGAGATCTGGGGGCAGAAAGCCTGGATTCAAATTCCAGCTCTGCCACTTGATAGCTGCATGGCCTTGGAGGATTGTCTCACCCCACTGAGCCTCAATTTCTTCATCTGTTCCAGTGGTAACAATAGTGAAATTAACAGTGCTGCTGTCATTTGTTATTGTGATTTGGTGATGCCAGTGTGTGAAGTGTGAAGAGCAGTGCCCGGGGTGACTGCTCAGCACATTCAGTGCTTGTTATTATTTGGCCCTTGGCAGATGGCTGGGCCTGGTTGGAGAGAATGCGGGGTGTTTGTACAGCAGGGTTGGGGGAGGCTGCACTGGCAGCCGAAGTAGGGAGCCAATTTGGGAGCAATTAAGAAGGTCCTGCTGAGGCTGGGCAGGGTGGCTCATGCCTGTAATCCCTGCACTTTGGGAAGCTGAGGCAGGCTGATTGCTTGACCCCAGGAGTTCGAGATCAGCCTGGGCAACATAGGGAAACCCTGTTTCTATAAAAAATATAAAAATTAGCTGGGCATAGTGGTGCATGCCTGTAATCCCAGCTACTTGGGGGGCTGAGGTGAGAAGGTTACTGGAGCCTGGGAGGTCTGGGAGGTCAAGGTTGCAGTGAGCTGTGATCATGCCACCGCACTCCAGCCTGGGCAATAGAGTGAGACCCTGTCTAAAAAAAAAAAAAAGAAAAGAAAAAGAAAACAGAAAATAAAATAAAAAAGAAGGTCTTGCTGGGTGGAGGCAAGTGGATGGCAGATGTGGCCAAGGAAGCTCAAGGAAGCTCTTGTACCCCCAGGGCAGGGCCTGAGAAATTCACCAGTGGGAATTCAGAGGGAATACAGGGCCTGGGTATGTGGTTGGCTCGGTCACCACACCTCCAGTCACAGACTGTGTCTGTCACCAGGGAAATGAGACTTAATTATTCTCTGTGTAGAAAAAACTTGGGAGGCTCCCTCAGCTTCCTTTTAGGCACTTACTATGTCTGGGGATGGGAACAGCAGTGCTCCCAGAAAGCAGTCCAGTCAAGCATATGAAGGGCGGCCTTGGGACAGTGATTGGGTATTTACTACATGACAGGCACTGTGTTAATGCTTCACTTGCAGTATCTCATTCAGGCCTCATCACACCCTTTTTGAGGTAGGTATGCCTAAGGCACTCATTCTACATATGAAAAGGTAAAGGGACTTGCTCAGGGTCACTCAGGGAAGTAGGGATGGAGTCAGGACTTAAGCCTTTGCTTTGGTGGCCAGTGGCTTAAATGGGACTCAGCATGGTATTGTAGCTACTCACTGGTCAGGTGTGAGGAGTAGGGGGACATCCAAGGAATTTTTCATTCAGCTCTGGACCTCGCATTATCAGGTTGGTATGGATCCCATAAGGAAGGATGTCAGAACCTGGGCAACCTGTTTCTATAAAAACAGGGTAACCCTGTTTCTATAAAAAGTACAAAAATTAGCTGGGCATGGTGGTGCATGCCTGTAATCCCATCTACTTGGGGTGCTGAGGTAGGAAGGTCATTGGAGCCTGGGAGGTCTGGGAGGTCAAGGTTGCAGTGAGCTGTGATCACACCACTGCACTCCAGCCTGGGCAACAGAGTGAGACCCTGCCTCAAAAAAGCCTTTGCTTTGATGGCCAGTGGCTTAAATGCAATTCAGCTGGAGGAAAGAGTGGGGGCATATCACTGAGAAGTTCCCAGAAGTGGAATCAGGCATAAAGTTCAGGAGGACAGAGAGTCATTTGGACATTCCTTGGGAGGAAGCGACCTTCCCATCAGGGGAGGTATTCCAGTACAGCTGGATGATGATTGCAGCTATAGAGGGAATCTATGAAGAACCAGATGACATGTGAGGTTTTTTGCAGCCCTGTGAGTGTGAGTGTATAAATCCAATTTTTTCCTGGTTCAGAGATAGCCAGGACCAAGGCTTATCTAAAAGATCCTTAAATTTCTCTGAGAGGCAATGTCATGTTGTGGAGACATCATGAGTTTTGGCAGCGGGGAGATCTGAGTTCAAATCCCAGCTCATTTAACTTGTAACTTTGGGCAGGATACTTAAACTTGGTGTCTCAGTTTCCATATTACTAAAGTAAGTACAGTAATGCCTACCTCAAAGTGTTGTGGGGAAGATCAAATAGAATAATGGTGCCTGGAACATAGTAGGTGCTCAATAAATGCTAATTCCTTTTCCCAAATATACCAAGAACCAGGCTGAGGACGGGGTGAGAAACCTTGACCATCTTACAATATCGTCATGTTTAAGCTCATCCTGCTATTGAAGAAGCAGAAGCTCAGAGAAGCCAGACTGCCTTGTCCATATTCCCAAAGCAAGCTGGAGCAAAGCCACAACAAGCGCAGGAATTTCAACTTCTGGCCCAGGGACCCTTCCACCCAACCCCGGGCATAGGACAGGCTGGGCAAGTCACCTCCTTTTGCTTCTGGGTCTCTGTAAAAAGGCTGACTTGGGGTGACTGACCTTGGAAGACCCCTTCTTGCTCCTCAGATGGCAGCGCTGGTGACATTCTTTCCACTCCACCCAGTGGCTAGGACATGCTGAGTGCTAACCAGCCGCCTCCAAATCCCATGACGTGCACCCAAATGGGGGACAGATGGCAGGAACAGGAGACGCCCAGAGACTGACCCTTGGAGCAGACTCTGTAGACACTAGCCTGGGGACCCCAGCCCCCACACTAGCCTGAAGACCCCAGCCCCCACATCGGTCTGGGCCCTGAGCCCACCTGTATAGCTGGTTCTCGCTGCCCAGGTGGAAATGTTCATACTGGGCATAGGCCTCGTGGCCTTCCCAGTCTTGCAGCTCCACACGCAGAGAGTAGGCTGCCCTTCTGGTGAGCTGGTGCACCACCTCATTGCCCAGCCAGTGCTCCCCGGCTGGATCTCCGAAGCCCTATAGGGAGGGGAGCGTGGGGTGAGACTCATGCTGAAGAGGAGGCCATGTCCCTGGCTGAAGAGCTGGGCTGGGCCAGGCTCCAGGGCTGCTTATACAAAACCACTGTGCTTAATGATCGAGTTCATAAGTACAGTGTAGGCAGGCCTGGGAGTGGGAGCCCTCCACCTGCTACAGGGAAAAGACTAAGATTTTTGTAAGTGTAAAAGCCTGTTAAAAGTTACTGAAATCACATTCCTCTGAAGTTCAAGAACAGGAACACTAATCTTTGGTGACTACCTTTGGTGGAGTATTGACTGTGAGGGGGCACAAAGTGGGCCTCTGGGGTGCTGGGAGTGTTGTACATCTAGCTCTGAGTGGTGGTCATGTGGTTGAATACATATGTAAAGGTTCACTGAGACACTTTATTTGTGTGCTTAGCCACATGTATGTTAAACCTTAACAAAAATTAAATAAGTATTTCAATCAGCTACATAAATAGAGCAAACTTTGTTCAGTGACAGCGCAGCCACTGCAAGATTTCAGCAACACAGAATTGTAAAACTGACAGTGTGGGGAATGTCATGTCCCAAAGCCCTTGGACAGAACAAGAATTCAGCACCAAGGACAGGGGCACACCCAAAGCCCGCTCCCCAATTTAGTCACGATGCAGTGCGGATTAGCCTGATGGTTAATATTCAGTGCTCTTTTGTGTACTTCTACACCTGGACACCCTATTCCTCCTTGCCATTTTAATTATTGTTTAAAACCCAATTAGTTCAAAACACTCATAACTTAATTTGGTATTTATTTTTAAGTACTCCCTAAATGAACAGCAAGCAGACACAAATAACAGAACTGCTATATCACCTTGTGGGAATCTTTTCCTATTTCTTTGGCTTTGAAAACTTTAAGAGTTTTTAAGTATTTTAAGTCAGCTTGACAAAAAATCCTTTATTCAAACCTAATTAAAAAATTGGAAAACAATCGGGTTTCTCTTCTCATAAAATACATGTGATCTTTGGCCCTGCAATTCCTCGTTGATGAATCTCTCCTGCAGATATGACCATAGGTGTATGAAAAGACAAGAAACTTCATTAAAGTAATGCAGTCAGGGGTGACTGGGGGGATTTTTATTCTGTGCCTTCCTTTGTATTCTTTAAAAAATTAGCAATGTATATGTATTATTTTTTTAAAAAATTAAAACAAAAATAAAGCTAAACTTTTTTTCTTAGAACATATGTCAAAGCTTTCAAAAAGAACATTCAAATTCAGGTGATGGGGTACCATAAAGCAGATGTGCACTGTCAACTTTAGATGAGTTGATTTTTTTCTGGGGGAGGAATGAGGGCAAAGCAGTCCCCTTCCAACAGCCCAACCCCTGCCCCAAGTTTCAGGGCTGAACGGCCCCTCCCCAAGGCAGCAGGGTTACCTGTTTATAATCCTTCCAGTTCCGCTGGAAATTAACGGTGCCATTCTCACGGCGCTGGATGAGGGTCCACCTGCCTCCACTGCTCTGCAGGTCACAGAACACCTGGAGGGGGTGGGCAAGGCACAGCTGGGAGCCCTTGGGGGCAGCCAGAGGCCAGGTCTATGCTGGCCCAAATATGGCTAGGCTGACAGACCCCCACAGAGCAACAGGTGAGCCTGGGGGTCCTGGGCATCAGAAAGATCCAGGCTCAAATTGTCCATCCATTGCCATCATTTTTCTAAAGTGGTGGGTAAGTAATGACCTCTCAGAGCCTTCCTCTTCTCATTTGTAAAATGGAGGTTCATACCTTAACCTCTTTGTGCCTCAGTCTCTCATCTGCAAACTGGGGTTGTGAAAATTAAATGAGAGGAGTCATGTGAAGTGTTTAGAACAGTGCCTGGCACATACTAGGTAAATGGAAGCTTGACCTCTTTTTGTTGAAAGGAGAGTTTAGCAGGTGTGTGAGAAGTGTAAAAGACAACCTGGAGACAAACAGAGGCATTCTCTTTGGTATATTAAGAGGGGGTGAAAGGAAATAGAGCAATGGTAGCTCACACCTGTAATCCTAGCAATTTAGGCGCGAGGAGGGAGGATCGCTTGAGCCCAAGAGTTTGAGACCAGCCTAGGAACATAGGGAGACTTTGTCCCTACAAAATAGTTAAAAATTTTAGCCAGGGCATGGTGGCATGTGTCTGTAGTCCCAGTTACTTGGAAGGCTGAGGCAGGAGGGTCATTCGAGCCCAGGAGGTCAAGGCTGCAGTGAGCTGTGATCATGCCATTGCACTCCAGCCTGGGCACCAGGGCAAGACCCTATCTCAAAAAAAAAAAAAAAAAAAAAAAAAAAAAGGAAATTGTGAAGTTGGAATCTGCTAGTTGTTTCCCTTCTAGGCCTGGCTCTCAGACCCTCCCTCCTGACATCTGTGCTCTTCTCTGTCACCCTCCTTATCTGATGACTTGACCTTAAATTTTAGGACAACCTTGGAAGCCACTCATTGAAAATGGTGGCACCTCCATTAGCCCTGGTTTCTAATTTCCACATAGGGCAGAACCCCAAATCCTGCCTTCAATATATAAACTAGAAAGAAACATCTTTGGGCTAAGGCCCTGAAATTTTGTGGGTTGTTTGTCATATCAGCTATCATCATCTTAACCAACACAGAACTATTTCCTGCTGTTCCAATGAAAGCACCTCTAAAGTGATGCTGGTGAAGGATACACTGCCAACTTTGGGAACTGCTGCTTATCTCCACAATCTGACCCCTGACTGCTGGGGGTTTCAGAAGTCAAAGCCACCCCTACACCTCTGGTATTTCAGATACTGGACAAAGTCCCGATGGAGCAGGGGGGTGTCTGTCTGGGAAGCCCTTGGCTCAGTACCCTCTAACAGCCACAGTTCCCAGAGAGCCCCCTAACCTTCCTGGGCTTCGTTGCATTGGACACCTGGATGGTGTAGACACCACTGGCGCTGGCCCCAGAGCGCTGGATCTCTGCACAGTCCTGGAACACCTGCTCATCTGCCATTATGAAGGCTGCAAAGGGACAACACAAAAGTCAGCTGGAGATGGGCAAGGAAAGAGAGAAGGGTCCAAGTGGGCATGCCTGCCTGCTTTGTGCCAGGTTCTGGGTTGGGAGGTGCTGGGGACAGGGAGATGAGTCAGACCTGGGAAGATTTCGTAGAGGAGGTGACAGTAAGCTGGGACCTGTACAATGAGCGGGAGTTGCCCAATGGGGAAGGGGAAGGTGTTCCAGGCAGAGGAAACAGCATATGCAAAGGCCCCAAGGTAGGAAGGGCCCTAGTGTGTGAAGAAGACAGGGCATGAGGAGGGGAACTGAGGCTGAGGCCAAGGAAAGGAAATGACTCACACCATGAGAGAGGAGTTGAGACCAGGGAGGCTCCTTGTTGTTTGATGAAACTGAGAGGGTACAACGAGGCTGGCACAGAGAAGGTGGGAAAGGAAAAGGAGAGAGGAAGCTGAGATTTCAGCAGGGCGGGCCAGGTCAGCCTTGAATGCCAGGCTGAGGAGCCCAGATTATCTGGACTGAGAAAGAGCACTCTGTCCAGGGTGTGGAGTGGGGGCTGGAGGGGATGAGACTCAAAGCTGAGAGGCCAGAGAGGAGGCCGCTAGAGTTTTCTGGGAGAGAGTTACTGGGGCCTGAACTCCAGTGAGGCACTTCCCATTTCACAGACCAGGAAACTGAGGCCCAAGAGTGAGGCAACTGGCCCAAGGACACACAGCCAGGTAAGGCAGAACCTTCCTTCTTTGGAGCTCCCTTGGGTGGGAAGCTGTGAGTTCCCCTCCATAGCCCACCCTTTTGGCTGGATCTCCCTGCTACCCTGGGCATAGGCTCCCTCATTCTGTCCTCCCTAGAAGCTGACAGCTGGCCTTAAAGGGCCCCTGTTTCTTTCCTCTGGACTACATGAGATCAGGATAGTATTAATGACCAAAACTTACCAGGGGTTTCTAGGCCTGGCCTGGAAAAAGTGACTTGACAGATAAAGTGCAGAGATAAAAAATCTCCTCTGTCTCAATTAGTGGAATCAGTTAGAGGTTTGAACTATGATTCTACCAGAATCCAGTCTCTCTGGGTAGGCAGGTACACAGGATGGGGCTAAAATTCCAGATGGATAGGTAGTCAAAACCAATGAGGAACCAGGAGGCTACCACAGGGTGGGACTTCCTGGTTTGGCTTTACATCTGAACTTCAGGGATCCCAGATCCTGGATCTGGGGCAGTTGTCCGGAGAAGGCTATACCTCTCATGTCACAAATGAGGTGACAAAGACCCCCAAATCCATCCCAGTTCACCCACAAGCATTTCCTGGGCAGGGGTCTCCACTGCCCTACCTGTCGGCACCCCCCTAGCTCCCCATGGGGAATGGAGTCCAGCCAAGCATGAGGAGGCTGTTGGCCTCATGGTGAGAAGGGATGGGCTGAACCTCACCCAGTAAGGCAAGGACAGAGCCAGGGTTGGCCTGAGATTTCCAGCCACCCTTTCCAAGGCTCTACTCACTGTTACTTTCCTTAGTTTACAACAATGTCAATAACAATAACAACAATAATATCAACACTAAAAGTGAAATATTCACCATGTATTGTAGTGTTTCCAAGGTGCCATGTAATGCCAGGGGTAGTTTGGGACCAGGAAAAATATTTTTGGGAGGCATAAGAATAGGATGGACTGATATTGACATGTAATGGTTTGACCTGGTCCTCCTCTGAATATCTGGGCTGGTAATTTGCACCAGTTTCCCTCGCTTTTGGCCATAGGCACTGTGCTGAACCCTTTTGTATGCCTGAACTCATCTGATTCTCTGTGCAAGAACTCCATGAGATTATTATTCCCATTTTACAGGTAAGAAAAATTGAGGCTCTGAGAAGTTAAATAAATGATTTGTATGAAGTTCCAGTGCCAATAAGTGAAGGAGCCAGGGCTTGAACTCTGGCCCATCTGACTGCAAAACCAGTGCCCTTCCTCCTACACATCTCCCCTTGGATTTCTACCACTGAGCATACATAAGGTTGGGCAAACAGCCTGCATTAACAATTGCTGCTTTTATATCGTGCATAGGTTAGGTCTCTTCTGCCTGTGCCCTTGTCCTTGTAACCTTCTGAACCAAACTCCCCACTGCCTGAAAACATCAGAAGACTTGACTCTTTTCTCCTTTCACCAGCCTCCACCTGACTAGGACAAAGCTAGGCAGAGAGCTAGTGCTCCCTTCCTGCTAGACTTCAAGAATGCCTGGTTCCTGTGCCCCATCTCCAACCAACCCTCTCTTCTACACCTGGCGACTGAGTCTGTCCTTCAGTTTCTCCATCCAGAAGGGGGTGAAAGCAGCTGCCTAGTGTCCTTCCCTGATGATAGTGGAGCACAGGGGACAGGGTGTTTGGGCAAAAGGTGCTCAAGGTGAGGTGCCCAACACAACCTCCTACTCAGACGATTGAGTAGACATCCAGCCTCAGCTGGGGACTGGGTTAGCCATGGGTTAGTGGGAGGCATTGGGCCCAGGCCCTGTGCCTTGGGCTGAGCTACAAGAAACCCACACATGGGATGAATTCAGGTAGCTCACGGCCAGGTCTATGCATAAGCCAGTAATGGGTTCAGGTTAATCCACATGTCGTGGTGTAGAAGGTATCTACTTTTCCTGCCGGTAGCTTCCTTAGGCCTCAAATCCCTACTCAGCAGTGTCTGTCAGACTTAGATGGAGCCAGGTGGGATCCTCTGCCCTCAAATCCTTGTCTGCACTGGTGGCGCCTGGAGTGCCCTCACTATTGGGTCTTAAAGGCTTTCCAGCCTTTCCCCAATGGATCTAGGAGCAGCAGCAGCCCCTTTGATCTTTCTCTCTCATCAAGCCATCTCCACACATGGTTCCAATCAGAGCTTCTTGAAAGTAGTCCCACTCTGTTCAAAAGCCTCCCATGCCCCTGCTAGCCTCAGGCTAAGAGCCCTTCTCCTTCGCACAGCCTTTGGACCTGTCTGTTTTCATGGTCTAGAAACTTCAGGAACACTGATAGCTGAGCATCTGGCACATATTTGGCACTCAAAAACTGTATTTCTTTCTCCTTCCCTCTGGGACTCATAGACCAGGGATCGAACATTTTTGCAAGGGACAGGGGCTGTGACTGCGCATTCACTGCTGTATCCCAAGCACCCAGCACTGGGCCTGGAACACAGTAAGTGCTTAGTAAATGTTTGTTGACTGAGTGATTGCCGCTGGGACCAAGAATGCCTTGGACAACCCGAGTAGGCTGTGTTAGAAGGAGTCAGTGAGGGCCTGGGAGCCTGGCCCAGCATTGTTTTCCTGCCCCAGAAGCCAGGGCCAGGGATGCCTCTTCACTTCTGTTTAGCCCTCTTGGGCTTAGGGACAGGGACATTAAGATGAGAGAGGTCCTTGGGGTGCATTGAATCCAACCTCCCAGTTCCTCCGCATTCTATAGCTAGGGAAACTGAGGCCCAGGGAGGGGTAGGACAAGCCCAAGAAAGTGCAGCTGGAGAGTGAATCCTGGAGACCAAACTTGTCAGTTTGGACTGCTGTTGCCCTTATCCTCCCCTCCAAAACCCACGGGTAAACTGAGGCCAAGGGAGCAGCAGGGGCATGCCCAAGGTGACACACTGAATTAGGGGACAGGGCCTGGATTGGGATTGTTGTTGCTGACATTGTTATTACTGTTTATTGTTATTTCTGTTTCACAGATGGTCAAGGAGGGTGGGGCCCACAATGGCCCCCAGGTACCCAGAGACCCTGGAGTGTGAGCAGGGTCTCCTTCCCATCTCCCACCCGTCTTTAGCCGCACTGGGGCGCACTCCGCTCACTCACCCGGAGCCGAGGCGTTAGCCCTTTCTTGCACCAGGTCACGCAACAGCAGCAGCAGCTGGCTCAGGCTGTGCTGCTGGTCCTGTAGGAGGCTGGAGTTGTGCCTGACATCGCGCAGGCCGCGCTCCATGTTGGTGAGGGCGGCGCTCTGGCGGCTCAGCGTGTTCAGCAGCTTCGCCTTCTTGCTGAGGATGCTGGCCAGCTCCTCCCGCTGCTTGGTCTCCAGGGCCTGCAACCGCTTCTCGAGCTCGCTGTGGGGTAGTGGGCGCACAGAGATGAGCCTGGCATCCTCGCGAAGCATGCACCCCAGCGCGCCTCCCCTGGGCCCTGGAGTCCCTGCAGCCTGACAAGGAGACTCAAGTGTGGTGGAACGTCCTGTGCCCACTGTAGGCACAGGTTGAGGAGGGGAGAAAATAGGTACCCGGCCCTGGAGTAATATAGATTGAGGTTTAGTGGAAGAAAGAGGTGGTGTGGGAGGGACACCAGCAACTGGGTAGCTATTATCAAATCCCAAATGTGCTTGCTTTTTGATCCAGCAGTCTACTCTCAGGAGATATCCTCTAGGGAGCATGGGCAAGAATGGCCCTGTAGACTTGCTTCTAATAGAAAAATAAACAAACAGAAAACAATATAGCCTAGATGGCCAACAGCCAGGACTGGCTGAATCCGTTGCGTTTTGGTGTCCCTGGAAATGGTCCGCAGTCATGAAGAAGGAGGCATTTGCACAGAATTGGAAAGATGCCCAGGACTTGGGGCATATCAAGTCTAACCCCATGTGTGGCAAGAGAAGAAAGAAAGAAAGTATTAATGTAAATATAGAGAAATGGGGTGAACATATAGGAGAAGGCTGGAAAGACCACAGTGGTGCCTGTGTTTGGGGATAATATGAAAGAAATTCCCTCAAGGGCTGTGACTTCTGCAGAGCAGGTTTGAGTGGATGGAGATGGAGAGGAGGAAGATGGGGGCAGGATGGAGGGCCCAGCTTTCACTTTTATTTTGTACAGGTTCCTGTTGTCTGATATATTATAATAATCAAGAGACTTTTTTTTTGGTAATGGATTTAGAAGCAAAGAGGAGTTTTTCAAAAGAAAGCTTTTGACTCAGCTCTTTCTTTTTGGGCATTTTATCCTCCAGATTTGCTCACATGTGTGTGAAATGAGATATAGTAATGTTACTCATCATATCACTGGTTGGATTAGTAAAAGGCTGGAAACAACCTCAATATCCATTAACTGGGGACTGCAGAAATAAAAGCAGGGACCACATATGGTGGAGCATTGTAAAGGTGGAGAAAAGAATGAGCAAGCATGTCATGCAGTTATAGAATCTTTCTAAGTTAACTGAATAATAATTTATAAAAACGAAGTAAAAACAAGTAGTGGGCTACATTTGGGCTTAAAAAAGATAAAAACGGGAGTGTACAGATGCTTCAAAACGTATGATGGGGCTATGTCCTAATAAAGCCATCATAAGTTGAAAGTGTCCTAAGTCAAAAACGCATTTGATACACCTAACCTGCTGAGCATCCTAGCTTAGCCTAGGCCACCTTAAACAGGCCTAGAACACTTACATTAGCCTGTGGTTGGGCACAATCATCTAGCACAAAGCCTATTTTATAACAAAATATTGAACAGTTTATGTAAGGTATTGAATATTGTAATGAAAGAGAAAAACACAATGGTTGTATGGGTACTCAAAGTACGGCTTCTATTGCATGTGTATCACTTTTGTACCATTGTTAAGTCACAAAATTGTAAGCCCAACCATTGTAAGTTAACAATCTTCTGTATGTAGGTGTTTGCATGTTCATAAGAAACCCTGGAATGTCAGCTTATAGAATGTCAGCTTCATGAGGAAAGGGGCTTTTGTCTCTTTGTTCACTTCTATATCCACAGTGTCTATAATAGTGCCTAACACATGAAAAGGGTTCAAAAAATAATTGTTGGTTGAATGAATGGAAGGGTACACAAGAAACTAGGAATAGTGGCTACCTCTGGCTTGGGTGGGTGGCTGAGGAACAGGGCTGGGAGGGAGACATTTTACTGTATATCCACTTGTGCCGACTCCTTCTGCAGACTAAGAAAATAAGTCCAGCTAAGGCAGAAGAAATTTCCTCTGGATACCCAATTATGCTGCAGGAAAAGAGAGAATTGGGGCACACTGAAATTCTAGAATTCCTGCTCTGCCTTCACGGGTCAAGAGTTTACTGATGACATCCTCCATCCTCACTGATTTCTAGACACCTGGTGCTAATTTAGAGTCATTGAAAGTGTCCCAGTCCTTGCCACTGAGACCTTGGGTTGGGAGAATAAGAAGATGGGCAGACTGTCATTAACTGCACCCAGATCAGAGAGCTGGGGGATCTTATGGCCTTATCCTGAACCAGCATGTGAACAACAACATCTGGCCTGATTCACAGGCCTGTGGCTCATTCAGTGGATAGATTTTGCCTTCTCCAGAACCCTGACTTTGGCAGTTTTTTTCTTCACTCAGCTTGAAATGGAGATGAAATCAGCCTTAGCTGCCAGATTTTTCTGCTTTATCTAAACCTCATGACCATTTTTTTTCAGTAATTTAAAGAGTGTTCCTCTGATGCCTATTTGCTTATAAACGCAAAGACTCTCTGACAGTGCAGACAAGAACCCGGTAGCTGTGGTTTCTTCTGGGAAACGAAGCAGGTAGATAGCACCAGATTTATTTATTTGCAAAGAAGTAAAACCAATAAAATTTACAGGGTGAGTAGTATGGTGGGTGAATTAGATCTCAATAAAGCTGTTAAAATTTATGAGATAAATAAAAGAAGGAGGAAAGGAAGGAAGGAAAGGGAAAGAGAATTAGGGTGTCCTGGGTCCCAGGAAAATGCCCATCCCCTGTCCCACCCAGTGCAGGGGCCAGGCAATGTGCCTGCTTGGCCCGTAGCCCAGCCCCATACCCAATCTCATTTCCAGCCTCAGTCTGGGCTGCAGCCCTGGTTTCAGTCCTTCCCCAGCAGGGCCTATTCCCAGCTCTAGTTTCAGCCCTAACTCCCAGAATACCTCCTTGCCCCAGTCCTAATCCAAGCTCCTAGCTCTGGCAGCAGGCCCCATCCCAGACACCAGCCCACGTCCAGCTTCCGGTCCTGGCTCCAGCCTCAATCCCAGCACTGGTTCTGGTGCCCGCCATAGGTCCTAAATAGTCTATCTATTTAGTCTACCTAAAACTATCTTGTCTGCACTCCAGCCCCAGCCCCTGTCCCAGTCTGGTGCCAGGTGCCACACCCACCTGTTTTGGCCCTGAAGCTGCTGGAGCTTCTGCCTCTGTAGCAGCAGCTGGTTCTCCAGCTTGTTGGTGGAAAGGAAGGTCTCTGGCATCTGGGCATCCATTCTTGATGTCTGGTTCAGGAGCTGCCCCAACAAGCAGAAGCAGGTAGGGGGCTATGTAAGTACTACAGGAGCCCTGCCCAACCACCCACCTGCCCACAGGCCCTGCCACTCCAGAAACTTACCCATTTCCACTCTCCCAGTCATAGTTCCTGTGGTTACTCCTTCACAGGCCCTAACTTAGCTTATGATCTGCTTCCTAAATTTGCCTTTCTCCATCACTGCAATGGCAGCTCCATTCTCCCTGCTGCTTAGGCCCCAGGAGCTGTCATCCTTGTCCCCCACATCCAACCCATCTGTAGGGCCTGTCTGCCCTGCCTTCCAGGTGGTACCTGACCACTTCTCTCCTGCTCTGTGGCCCTCACTCTGGCCCTGGACTCCTCCCTCGCTCCCTGCAGTCTAGTCTCTATTCAGCAGCCTGGGACTGCCTCTTAAAACATGTTTGCTCTGTTCAAAAGCTTCCTGTGGCTCCCATCTCATGCAGCAGAAATGCCCCAGTCCTCACCATGGCCTGCAAGGCCCTGTGGTGTGATCTGTCCCTATGACTTCTCCAGCCTCTTGTCTGCCACTCTCCTCCTGGTCACTCCAGCATACGGTTCTGATGTTCTTGAACCCGCCAGCATGTCCATCCTCCCTCTGGGCCTTTGCACGTGCTACGTCCCCTGTCTAGAGCACTCTCTGCAGTAAGCCTTGCTGCAGCCCTACCTTCTCTGTGGCCCTTCTTGGCCTTGCTGTACGAACTTGCAGCTCTCATCCCTCCCACCACTCCCAGTGCACCCCCCTCTTGCTCTCTCTTCCGTGCTATTTTCTCCTTAGCGCTGTCACTGGCTAACATATACAGCCATGTCTTGCTTAATGACTGAAAAATGTAAGAAAGTCATCATTAGGCAATTTAGTCATTCTGCAAACATCATAGCATGTACTTACAAAAATCTAGATGGTATAGCCGCCTGCACTCCTAGGCTATATGAGGCAGCCTATTGCTCCTAAGCTACAAATCCATGCAGCATGTGACTGCAATACTATAGGCAGTTATACGTGACCCCAGTAACCATGTATGACCTGTAACCATGTATGTCACCCATCTTTTTGTTTCCAGGGGAAGCTCCACAGGAGTAAGAATGTGTGCCTGCTTTGTTTCCTGCTATATACTAGAACCAGTCTTCTCAAGCAGTGCCTGGCACACAGGGGATCAAACAAACAAATGGGCACAAACTTGTGTCTATTTGTTACTCACTTTTTCATCCACTGACTTCCTACCCTTCATTTATTCACTAGTTCTTTCCCTGCTCTTTGCTGCTCAGATACCTCCTCTCTCCAAGTCCTTGGACCCAGGGGCCCAGTGAATTGTTTCTTATCCATCTTCCCCTGGTGCATTGTAAGCCCTCTGAGGGCAGGGGGGCTGTGCTACTATACCCCTCACCCCAGTGCCCAGCACAGACCTGGGCACTGAAGTTACAGAGGCAGAAAAGCCAAACCCAGCATCCATCCCCCAGGGCTCACAGCTTGGAAGGAGATTGTTTTATGAGAAGGTCATCAGGGAGGAGGGACCCAGGGGGCTACAGGCCCAGAGGAGGCCTTGACCCTACCTAGGGTCAGAGATCAAGATAAGATGACTGGGGCTATGAGCCAGTCTGGCCAGCCACAGGCCCTCAGTGCCCACTCAGTCACCCTCTGTTACCTGAGCCTCCATGTCGGTCAGCTTGCGGGTCTGGACAGTGGTCTGGTTCAGGAGGCTGGTGCCCAGCTCTAGCATGGGGGCCGTCTGATTCTGGGCCATTTGCTGCTGGACCTGCACCAGCTTCGACCTCAAGATCATCTTGATGGCCATCTCTAGCTGTGGGAGACCACGGGCTGGGGTCACGGGGGAGGGGCTGGGGGAAGCCCCCTGTCCCTCCCGCGTGTCATCATGGGAGGGCACTGAGCAGCCACATGAGGCCTCCCTGGCTCAGAACATGCCGGGCCAGGTCAGGCCACCATTACCTCTTGCCTGGACTATCCCAGTAGGTTTTTCCCTGGGAGGGATTTATATGCCTGTTTTGTCTGCCTCTCTGCTTCCATCCTTGTCCCCTGCACAGTCCATCCCCCACTAGGCAGCCAGAGGGATCCTGCTAAACCTGTCAAGTCACACTCCTCCTCTGCTCAAAATCTTTCCAGGGTTCCTATCTCACACAGAGGAAAAGCCATGGCTGCAGGTTCCTCCATGATTGGGCCTGCCACTACTCTCTCATTCCTCTCCTATCCCCCTCTCTGTCACTTACTTCAATCCCGATGCAATGCCTCCATGACATCCCTCCAACGAAGCAGGCATGCACCCACAAGTTGTTCCCTCACTGTTCCCTCTGGAATCCTCCCCCAACGCTGATCCCCATCTGCATGGCACACACCCTCATGCTGTTTCAGCTTTCTTCATACCACTTATCACCACTTGACTTTTTAAAACCACTACCTGTGTTTTTATGTGTCTGTTGTCTGTTTCTCTCTCTAGAATGTCAATTCCATGAAGCCAGGGACTTGGTGTTGCTCACTACCTTGTTTCTGTGTTTAGCACAATGCATGGTGCACAGTGAGTGCTCATAAATGTGTGTTCAATGAATTGTTGAAAAAGGGGAAACAGCAAGGGTCAGAGCACAGTGCCCAATCGCATGCCCCTTCCCCAGCTTCCTCGGGGCGAGCCAGCCAGCAGGGAGTGGGAATGCGTCTCTCCCTTGTACAAAGAGTTTGCAGGTCCATTGGCCAAGCTGTGCTTTCGATGTTCAGATCTCCTCCATCTGCCAAATGGGGCTGGACTGGCCAGTCTCCAAGGGTTCTCCCAGCTCTGATGTTCTGGGATCCCACGTGCAAATGTTCATTTCTTTGACAGGGCTGCTCTCTTTCCCAAGGGCAGGAGAGCTGTTCTGGCATGACACCAGTATCCTGCTGTAAAGGTGAACAGTGTGTTCTCAGGGCTCAGTGCCTGCGGGCAGAAAGCCGGCTCCCACCCACCATTGCCTCTCCATTCAGCACACATGCTGGCCTCTCACCACGCCCCCCACCCCCGTCCCTGGCTCCTTCCCTGGCTCCTTCCCTTGCCCTCTCACTCAGTCTTTCAGAAGGTCCAACTGGACAGCTCCGAGGGTCTCTGGAAGATGGGTGCGCCCCTGGAGAGGTGGTGACCTTGGCTCGGGCCAGGCTCCAGCCACTTCCTCCTTCATATCTTCTCCCCTCTTCCATCTTGACTGTTCACTCCCATCCCTTCCTCACCCTGGAGTGTTTCAAAGGGAGGAAGTTCCGTTATCAAATCCTGGAATGGGTGCTTGTAGGCGGTAGTAGTACTGGTTATAGCTGTGTTTCTCAAAGTGTGGTTCTTCTGAGAGCTCATTAAAAATGCGAATTTCCAGGTCCCACCCCAGACCTCCTGAACCGGAAACTCTTAATGATGCCCAGACATCTGTGGTTATCAACCCCCCTGGCTGAGTCAGATGCCTGCTCATGTGTGAGAGCTCATAGTCTTGTACAGCGTGTTGTATGGGAAAGGATGGAGTTACTTGGATACTGAGGACAGCACAGGTAGAATCTGGGACCAGCTACCAATCCCCGTCTGTTTGTTTTTCTAGAAACCCGAGATGATGAGCCTGTGTGTGGGAGACCCCTGGGTATCTGTGCAGGGCCCAATGGGACTCTCTTTGTGGCTGATGCATACAAGGGACTATTTGAAGTAAATCCCTGGAAACGTATGTGATAATGTATTGTTTCCTTCTATGATGATTTTAGATCTTTTAAACAGTATATGTATGTATAGACTTAATAGGATTTGTTAACAACAGTCTGCTAAAGACTCTGATATTTCTTATTCACTGAACAGTACTGAAAGCATTGCCTGCAAAAGTCAGCTAGTTTTAAACACCAGAAAACTCCCTACCCATGATTGCATTTGGTCCACACCCTAATTTCCTCCAAGCATTTATATTTTAGCCACAGGGTCTCAAAAGGTCTTACTGTGAGGAAGTTAGACCTCTTTCTGTCTTTATCTTTCTGTGTGTCTCTCTGCATCTTGTCTATTTGTTTTCTCTCTTTTTCTTCTCTGTGGCCCTCCCCTTTGTCTCTGCCTTTCTGTTTTCTCTTGTAGTTCCTCCTCTTCTTTCCCCTGACTGCTCATGAGTCCCCTTGACCAGACTGTAATATGTGCTGTGTGTCTCAGTGGAGGTTCCTGCTGGGAAGGAGTCTATTGTCTTGTGCAGTGCATGGGGGCCCGAATGTAGGCCCTGCAGCCCAGCTGCTTGGGGCTGCTCCACTCTGCTGGCCACCAGCTGTGACTGCAGGTCCCTTGACTGCTCTGTGCGCAGCTTCCTCATCAAATTGGGGTCATAGTAGCCCTGCCCGTGGGATTGTTGTGAAGGTTTAAAGGCGGTCACACCTCAAGAGTGCTTAGCACTCAGTCCATGTTCTTTCTATTATTTTTCAGAACTTATACTACTGCTTTTTTTTTCTAAAAGCAGATGAGTAGACTATGTCATATTTTTCTCAAATAGAAGTACAGCCTGCCTAACACTTGCAATATATGTTATCAAGTCAGTTGACCTTCTAGGTCAATTACCTAGAAGAAAGAATTCCTCATCTTTATAGAAAAGATTCTGCCTTTAATGAAGTTAGTCTAAAAAAAAATCATTTAATACCTAATACTGTTTTTACTATAAGAAGGAATGAATCTTCTGACATATGACATGGAGAAGTTTCAGTTTTTCTTTTTAAATCAGGCTGGTTAATATTTTGAAATTATTGAAAAGAAAGTTCCTAGTTCAAGTCAATCTTTTTCTTTCTTTTTAAACTTCAGGTGAAGTAAAACTGCTGCTGTCCTCCGAGACACCCATTAAGGGGAAGAAAATGTCCTTTGTGAATGATCTTACGGTCACTCAGGATGGGAGGAAGATTTATTTCACTGATTCTAGCAGCAAATGGCAAAGACGAGACTACCTGCTTCTGGTGATGGAGGGCACAGATGACGGACGGTGAGGCCTTGCTCCAGGTCTCCCATTTGTTGAGTTCACCAGCCAGGCCAGCTGCTTCAGCAGAGCCTGTTACTTCTAGGGACCAAGGGAGTGTTTCCAGCATCATATTTCAGCTTCTAGTACAGGACCTTAGTGGCTTCTGGAGGCAGGTGATGGATATCACAGAATGAAACAAGGTGCTTTCGTTTTCTCTGGGGAAATAAAACAGGCCAGTCCGTCTGAGGGTGCAAGTCTAGGCAGTCAGGAGAAACCCTGGAGGCAGGCCGGGGCTTTGAGTTGCCTCTCTGGGGGAGACTCCTGTCCGGCTCCCAGGTCAGCAAGAGAACTTGGGATTCTCTGGAGGGGACACTGGATCCGCTCTGGATGGGGAAGGGCCCCCAGGGGCCAGCCTTGAATCAAGTTTGAGCAGGGGACCCAGGGCCTGTTGTTTCAGGTTGAGGTGGAGTCACCTTCTGCAGGCCCATGCCCTGAAGGCCCAGAGTGGGAGCCAGGGATTCCCCCGGCATAACCCTCTGCTTTTAGTGTTCCACAGCCTGCTGGAGTACGATACTGTGACCAGGGAAGTAAAAGTTTTACCGGACCAGCTGCGGTTCCCGAATGGAGTCCAGCTGTCTCCTGCAGAAGACTTTGTCCTGGTGGCAGAAACGACCATGGCCAGGATACGAAGGTGTGTGTGGGATTAGCTGAGCCGTCAGTCGCTGGCCAGAGCGCATCATGGCGGGGTAGAGTGGGCATGGAAATGGGATCGACAGAAATCAGAGGCAGCAGTGCACCTTCTGCATGGCATGTTAAAGAAAATTCAAGGGTGCACTTTTCTTTCTCCCATTGCGAGTCGTAGTCTGGGAGTGTCTTAAGGCCAGCTGGTGCAGCCCGGGCCCCATTCCCCTGCTGGCAGGGCCTTGGTCATCCCCCGACTTGCTTCCCCTCTATTCATGCTGGGCCCTGTGCATAAAGGTTTCTTCTCAGCAGCTGTGCCTTTGTTCATGATGGACATAGTTAGAGCACTTTCCATATATATAGTTGGACCAAGACCAGTTTGGTGCTTGGCTAAAATTTTTATCTTAAATTGAGGGGCTATGGCTCACTGTCTGCTTGGGTGAATTTTTCAGAGTCTGTGTTTCTGGCCTGATGAAGGGCGGGGCTGATCTGTTTGTGGAGAACATGCCTGGATTTCCAGACAACATCCGGCCCAGCAGCTTTGGGGGGTACTGGGTCGGCATGTCAACCATCTGCCCTAACCCTGGGTTTTCCATGCTGGATTTCTTATCTGAGAGACCCTGGATCAAAAGGATGATTTTTAAGGTAACTATAAAAACTGTTACTCCAAGAAAGAAAATGGAAGTGAATGGAATCATGTTTTTTTGACCCTTATAGCTTAAAAATCTAATTCTGCTTGTAGTATTTGGCTCTGAATGACACTTAGAAACACATTTTATTCTTCATCCTGAAATGCAGATTTAAACATTTGGACCCTTTGGTTCTTCTGGTTTCCCTGTTTCTGGGTGTTTTGATTGCCACCCTCACCATCATGGCTCTGGGCATCCGCCTGCCTGTCAGTCTCGCTCCTCCATCTGCCATGGCTGTGCCAGGCCTTCTCTGCTCTCCGCCCTCCTCTCTGCCTCCTCAGGGAAAGAGTCGGAAGGTGCCCCTTCCTCCCCTCCCTGCAGGTGTGGCCACCCCTGTAACCCAGTCACTACAGCTGCCGTCGCGCCTGCTGTCTGCTGCCTTCTTGCAGCCTCACTGCCAGGCACCCTTCTCTATGGAGTTCTGCCCTTTGACCTCCTACCACACCCAAATCTTTCCCTTTAAAAAAAAAAAGTCACCCACCCCCACCAATGGCCAGCCATAGCCCCTTCAACACAACAGCCCCTTCAACACAACAGCCCCTTCAACCCAACAGCCCCTTCAACCCAGCCTTTAAAGCTTACCGTTTTCCCAGTGGCTTCCATGAAGCACCCCACAGCACCCCACATCATAACTCAGCACGTTTACACTGTGGAGGGGTCACTTGCTGACATGGGCGCTTGTGTAATATAGAGATCTGCTTTTCCAGCAAGCTCCATTTCACAGGCTGAATAGGTATTTGAAGTTGATACTGAATATTTGAACTGATATGGAAATACTAGCTTACGGTCCTGGGACTGACAGGCAGCAGTTGCTGAGTCCTACTGCTGGGCTGTGTGCCTGGACCCCTCCTGGGGGCTGCGTGCACATTCTCAGACTGGCTCACGGTCTTCAGTGATGTGAGTTCTGTGGGTTGCTGTGTGAGAAGTCCTAATCTGTTGAGAAATCTGTCCTTCTCTTTGCCTTATTGGCTCCAGAGATATCATCTGTTCCTGCTGGCACCTAGGGGTAGGCAGAATAGCCGGTGGGCTAGCACAGGGGTTTTGGAGGCTGCCAGACCAGCTGTGGGACCCTGGGCCAGAGACTTGGACTCTCTGCCTCAGGTACTCTGTCTGTAAAGTGGAAAGAATAATAGCACCTCATCAGGTGCTGGGAACGTTTAGTGAGAATCCGCACATAGCGCTCTTAGCTTAGGGTAGTGTTAGTGGTGGTTGTTTGTGTCTCTTCCCCTGAATAGAATATGCATACCATCAGAGCAGGTGTTTTTCTGCGTAGTTCATTTGTCATCCTCCACATCTGCAACAGTGCCTGGCACATGTAGGCGTGAGGACGTACGGTTGATTGAGGGCATGGTTAGGGAGGGGACTGCAAGCATGAGGGAACACGGAATCTTCCTGCAGCTGGGTGAGGAGGGGTGAGAGGGAGAACCACAGCCCCATGGACTTGGAAAGAAAGTTCAGTTTTATTCAAAATGTAATCCAAGTCATTGAAGATTTTTTTGTTTTTTGTTTTTGAGACAGAGTCTCGCTCTGTCACTCAGGCTGGTATGTAGTGGCACAATCTCGGCTCACTGCAGTCTCTGCCTCCTGGGCTCAAGTGATTCTCCTGCCTCAGCCTCCTGAGTAGCTGAGACTACAGGCATGCACCACTACGCTCGGCTAATTTTTATATTTTTAGTATAGACGAGTTTTCACCGTGTTGGCCAGGCTGGTCTCGAATGCCTGACCTTGAGTAATCCACCCACCTCGGCCTCCCAAAGTGCTGGGATTACAACCGGGAGCCACCATGCCCAGCCTGATTTTTTTTTTTTTTTTTTAAATTTTGAGACAGTATCAAAGCTGTGGAAACGGAGGGTACAAGGGATTTTTTTTCCCAGCACTG